TGGAGAAAGCTTTTTCTTCCTTTGTATTAACGATGCCTTACATATTTTAACCTCAAGTGCAGCATTCATTCCACTGAAAGAATTAAGAAATCTGTGATGGTTCACATTTAGCAGCCAGAGATGGCATTCCTTTCATATCTCCATAAACTCAGAGAGAGGAATATGATTTAGGGTATGCTCACTATACAACCCGAAGCTGAATAATTTAGTGTTAAGGGAAACCTTGTGAAGTCATTTTTGCAATAACCAGTCACAGTGGGTGAACTTGACCTCTCTCTCCTTTACCCCTTACTCCCTTTTCTCCCATCCAATCCACCTGATGAAAAGCTAAAAATTAAATACATAAGGAAGAGCTGTTGCTCTACTTTCTTTTTTTTGTTGTTGTTGCAGCTTTGTTACAGAAAATCTATCAGTCACTTGTGGTTAAAACTTACAACTTTATTACATAGTATTACACAGGAAATTTATAGTTCAGACTCACTCAATTCCAGCAACTCAAATTTAGAACTACACCTCCAAACAACAGCACGCAGAAAAGGGTATTCTGTGCTTTTTTGAGTCATTCTGTTCAAGCTCAACAATTTAATTTTCCATTTGATAACTGGAGCCACAGAGATTGGTTTTGGCCTGAAGGGTCACCTGTTGGCAGCTTTCAAGAGAACATTCAAGCTCACTCATACTCCCATAACAATTGCACGCTGCATCCTTGCTAATTAAGCAGGTCAGACTGAAAAATAACATTCTCCATGTCCAGCTGGTCTTTCTGAAGTGCAGGAAATAAACCAACAACAGAACAGACACACTCAGGATGGAAAAGAGTTATTAGCCCAAGCCTGCCAGTGCAGGATTTCCTTTATCATCTGGTTACTGCTTTTTTTTTAAAAAAAACCAGCTTCTGAAACAAGGTTTCCATTATTTCTACAAAGAGACTTCTAGATCATCAAAAAACTACAGACTTTTTTCTTTTTTCTACCATTTATCCTACATTTTCCCATTTATTTTGACGTCATTACCCCGCTAATCAACCTTCAGATCGTGAAATCCATTTCCTCTCTCTGGCATTCAAAACCAAGCTGAGTCTACTTCTCCACACACGCAGATCCCTCACTGGGCAGGTGATGTGAATGCTCCTTGTCTTTTCTTTACCTTTGGGCTGCTCCAAACACTTTGCCACTGCACAGTCTCCTGCTTCAACAGTGCAACCCAAGCCTCATTTCCCTTTTCCCAACAATCACGTTGTTAACTCTTGAGTACAGAGTCAGCCAGAAAGGATGAGCTGAGGTACAGAGCAATTTGTCCTCTAAAAAAGGAAGGCACCAGTAGAGAGGAAAGAGCTGGGAAAAGAGGTTTTAGAGGTGAGACATCAGACACGAAAGAGACCTTGGAAATTGTAAATGTAGAAGCTGAAAAGGGAGCAGTTTTCTCACTATAAAGGGCATAAAAAGCCCTATCCCACTGACTCTAAACCAGAAGACTTAAACACAGAAGGAAGTTATGTTTTCCACACAAAACAACTGCCAAAAAAAATTAAAGATTAAAAATATAAATGACCCCCAAAAAAGGCAAATTAACAAGTCACAGATCACTAGTTTCTATTATGCATGGTCTTTCTTACAACAGGTATCTTAAAAGTCAACAGCAGACTGGAAGAAGTTAAAAGGTACACTCAGTAAAGCAGCATTTTATGTAGCTTTACATATATTTTCCTTGGGTTTCCTTAGGAATTTACCATTAGTGACCATCAGAGAAAGAATACTAAGGCAGACAAACCTCTGACCTGATCTACTCAGACTGTTTGATGGGGAACAAATGGAAAAAGATGAGTCTTGCTCGTTGAGGGAGGAATAGGATGGACAATATCAGAAACATCAGGAAGCATTCAGTGGGTAGTTCCAGTCAGTTGTGATTGTTCCCCACTAATGAAATCACACTGACTCTTAAGAGGGAAGATGCTATAAAGATGTAGGCCAACACACGTTTTAGTTAAAGGGGAAAAACAGGTATGAGAGAGTGGCTTTTGCAACTTGCTCCCTGACAACTCTTACTGTACTTCAGGCAAAACCAATCCCTCCAAAATACCGAGCAGGGGTAAAACTCTTTGCTAGGGAAGGTGCTACATCTTAAGCTGTTAAGCCAAAGTACATCACAAATACCAGAATTCCTCCCAAATAAAGAGGACAAGGATGGTCACAGTAAAATTCCTTTCCTGACTGACAGATAAATATTTTACTGCTTATTAGGATCCAGAACAGGACAATAGTCTACCCAACAAGAACCAATAAGCTGAGCAAAGCTTTTCAGACCTTACATGAAGATACGTTATAAAAACTTGCATGTTTTTATATCTACACAGAAACCAATAAGAAGAAATTGCCTGAGCCTTCTGTCGGCTTTTCCTGGTGGTGCAGAGAAAAAGCAGTGGTGGAAATTGGTATCATTTGTGTTATTTGGGGGCATAACATGTCCTAATAATTTTCCAAGTATAAAAACCCAAAAAAACCTGTCATCAATGAAATTAAATTTAAATAGGCTGATCTTTTACCATTAAGATCCTTCATTTCAATCATCAGTGATAATCTCCTTCTAAAGCAAAATAACATGGTTTTTAGAAACAGCATTATGGAAACAAACAAAATCAGAAGCAGCCTGAATGCAGGATCAAGTAGTGACAGACACTGAGCTGTTAGATGTTTTCAACTACTGGGAAGACAATAATTTCTGTTATTAATTACTCCTTAAAACTTGAACAGAAACAGATTTTTTTCAGCCCATGCTCACAACACCATTTTGGATCTTCATCAGACACTGCAATCCTGATCCTACCGCCCTTTTGTTGGCAAAAAACCCCCAAAACCTAAAACCCAAACAAAGACAAAAAGCCTTAAACCCTAAAAGACACAACAAGAGAATGAGTGAAGGAAAAGAAATAAAAAGACACAGCTTTGAGCCTCAGTTCAGTCAAAACTGAACTGTTTTTTCGAGCTTTGCAGCTCCTGCTGAGTTACCAGTGCTGACAAATGGCAGGGTTTGAATTACTGACTGCTTTTAGAGTGCCACTTCCATCACACCACACTGGAAATATCTGATAAATATGACTTCCAGTAAAAGTTAGTAGGACATAATATGATAATTCAGAATAAACCAGAAGGACCTGTCGCTGTTGTTGATGGCTTCCTCACGTATCACTCCCCTGAACAACAGTGGGTGAGGAAGCGAAAAATACCCACAAACAAACAAACAAACAACCAAAAAAAGACAAAGAAGTGGGAGGGGAAAAAAAAGAAAACCAGAGAAAGATAGTTGTCTATGGTCTGATTTTCTGCCTTCTAAATCATGGATGATACAGCAAATTATGTATGATGCACTCACACAGGCATGTCAACTCACTCCTGATCTCCGCAAAACTCTCAGCAGGAGCTGCCTCGCCTACACCAAGCATTTGAAAACCTGCTTTTAATAAAAAGTTTATTTTATTTTATTTTATTTTACTTAGCTCAAATTTGGCTCTTCTAGTCTGTTGTTTTCTGGAGTGCTTGTCTTTTTGTGCTCATGTGTAACCGAAATTCTAAACCAGCAGCTTTCAAACATTCACAAGGCCACGGGCTCTGTAATAAGCAAGACTACAAACACTGGATGAAAGAATATCTGTGATGTTACAGCATTTCTAAGTGCAGCTATAGCAGGCCCTGGATAAAGCACTTCTGAATAACAAAGCATTCTCCCCTGAATTCAGCAACAGAAGAATTTAAATTGTTTTTCCTAATATCAATATTAAGCATACTCCGACTTGGGTACCCAATTTATTCATTGACGGTAAAAGTGATTTAAAATCTACTTAAAAGCAAAATCAAACCAGACACACCCTTAGCCCTTTTCCTCTTGGATCTCCCTGGCATTTTCTGAGAAAAAGTCATGTTAGAGTAACAGTTTTCACAACTACCTGTCTATGGCTTGGTAGCTGCACAGGAATTACTTTTTTTAACATAAAGTTGCTGTAGGACTGATTAAAAAGGAGTCGGTGCTCTCTCAACCAGGTTCAGAGCACTTTAAATTTCTCTTGCAGATAGGTGGATTTGCACATGTACACATACACAACCCCCCAGTAAACATCTCAGCTCCTGCTCCTTCCATCCACGGTATTTCTAGATATTTAACTTTTACTTATATATTTAATGGAAGATCCTTTGCCACAGCCAGCGCCCCTCAAGGCACTCTGTGAAAAGAGGTTTAAGGCTCAACTAGCACAAACTTTCAACACATAATTTTGTAAGAAGCATAAAAGTGTAAGCCACCATCATTTTGGTCGATACCAAAACTAGTAAATGCAACATGCATTTCTCTATGATTTAAGAGACCATTTCTGCAAAAACTCCAAATCCCTGGTGTACTCCCGTTCTTGGGAGCATTCACACAACCACAGTTCGCAGAATCAAAAAGCTTGGAGAAAATTATTTGGAGTTAAATTCACGAGCTTTTATGAAAATGCCATTTTTAAAGTTCAACTATTAATTCTCCAAATGCACCTGCATTTAGTAATCATGCCACCAGAACAACGCTACATGTTGGGGTTTTTTTTCTGACCAATCCCAATTAATCAACGCAGCTCAACAGCAAAAGTCACACCTGGAGCCACAAAGTTTAAAAAAAAAAACCAAAAAACAAACAAATAAAAAAAAACCAAACCATATTTTGACACAAACAAAGCATTTAAGTAAAGTGTAATATACTGAAAGGAAGCCCAAGAGTGGTAAGAGAGGACAGATTTGCTACACAGTGCGTTTGCTAAAAATCAACTGTTGACTCCCACCAAACACTTTTAGCAAATGACATTATTTACTGAATAAATGGCAGTTTAAATAAAAGGCAATTTTTTTGGGAGCTAACTTATTCCTCTCAGGAATTTGGGGAAAACGAACACCCCGCAGCAGGCAGAGCAGGGGCACAGAGGAGGGTGAGGCCCCTGCCGACAGCAGGACCGTGAACACGGAAGGCGGTGTTACCTTGGCACGCAAAGCCTCGCTCCTCGTAGCCAGCATTGCACAGGCACTTCCCTATGGGCACCAGCCACTCCCCCTCTGTGCTGCAGTACATCTTGGGGGGCTCCTCCTCCCTGGAGTGGTTGACACAGGAGCCCCGCACCTCCACCAGCGACTGCGAGTCCATGGGCACCGTGTCGGGGAACATGGCCAGGTTCTTGACGGTGAAAGGGCACTTCT